TATATATATATATATATATGGAATCTAAGACGAAATCCCATCAACCTACGACTCTCCGTGCGCTGAACTCGCCGCCTGAAAAGAGGGAAAACAACGAGCATCAAAGCTCTAGCAAGATCATCTCTACCGCCCCCAAGGGGAAGGGGTAGCAATACATAAGAAAATACTGGTTAGTACATATAAATATAAAGTCATCAATACTGCGCTAAACAAAAATTGGTATTTAGAGATTCATAATACGAGAATGGGCATGTCGAGCAAAATAATTCAAATAAGGAAACCCTCGTGTATATACCTCGTATCCCAAATTATGAATTGCTAAATATCAATCTCAGCTAAGAATAAAAATGCAAGTAAAATTAGTAACTAGAAATCCACAACTCGAGACTGGTACGTCGAGCGAAATAATCCAAACAAAGAAACCCTCATGTATATACTATATATCTTGAGCTATGAATCACTAACCACTAACTTTAAACCTATATATGAACAATCATCACAAACAGAAATATTACAGCTTCTACCCTCAATCATAATAAAACAATTTATCACAATCTCAGACTACTTCAGGTAGCTGGCATCATCATAAGGAAATATTATCCAGCTCAAACATTACAAAATACCATATCATGTATGTCATATATCTAATGTACACCCTACTCATGGATAAACTACATGGAATCATACTACAACTATATATATGTATGCATCTCTTTTTACGATAGCGATACTCTTATAAGGTTCTTACTCAATTGCTCTGCGGCAATAGGTTTTATCTCCCTATTCCGGCTACATAAAATAATGATACTCTTGTAAGATTCACACAATAACATGTGGGTTCAACTTCCTTACTCAATCATTCTATGGCAAGAGGTTTTATCTTCCTATTACGGATATGCTTCCAGATGATCGTACAATGGTGAATAGGCACATCAGCCCAATCCGAAAAAAAAATACACCGATCACCTTCGAGTATTTAGTACAACCGAGGTCTCATTACGGGAAAAACAACTAAATATTCCTATTGTAGTACAACCGAGGTCTTATTATGAGATAAACAACCACACTGAGCATCCATAACCGATGAGCAATGTTTTACCCTATGTTAATTCACTTTCATCAACTCAACGTGTGTCAAGTATCTCGACAATGCATGTCAATACATCATAAACTAAGTGTACGTGCACATATCTCGGTGTGCGTGTTAATATATGGTGTTCACCAACATCCCAGGTGTTAAACAACTCATAAGATTTGTAATACAACATAACAACATCGAGAAACATCTCCCGAAAAACAGAAACAATAAAGAAAAACATGTACAGGCCAAATGTGTGATGGGCGGTTTGACCGCATATATGCGGGGGTCGACCACAACGTGTTTCAGGAGTTGCCTAGGCCTCTGCCTGGCATGCAGTAGACCGCCGCTTACGCGTTGTTGACCGGACTAAATTGCAGAGATTTGTGCAAGTTTTAAACAATTATGTTCGTGCGTGTTTTTGTGATTCAAACTTGTATGGTTCATGCTAAACCATATGTAGAACATTGTAAACAACAAATCAACTTCTCTGGGAATTATCAAACATGTGAAATATAATTAATTGCACAATGAATCATAAATAAACTCTTAAATATGCACGAGACATCGTTACGAAGAAAATTCATTAAAATTCAGTTAAACCATGTGATTAATTACTCTCAAATCTTAAAACACTTCTGTAATTTAGCTCTTAAACTTTTAAACATGAAAAGATCTAGTCTTTATACATATATATAATACAAAAGATTTGATTTTTATACACAAATTAGTCAATTTGGCCCGATAAAACTCGTTAGAAACTCATTTAAAATTCTTTAAAACAGGAGAGAAGGATTAATAGAGATGAAACTTGCTTGAGACTTGATGCAAAACGTGAAAGATAGGATTCCAAAGTAGATCTCCAAGCCACAAACCAAAATCCCTCCTTAGAGCCCTTAATCTCTCTCTCAAAATCAAATTAGGGTTTTTAGGAGAGTTTGGTGGCTGCTAGGGTTTTTAGATTATTAAAAAATACGTAAAAACTCATGAACAATATGTATATATATCAGGAAAAACGAATATGGGTCTCAAATACCTGAAACCAAGTCAAAACAGGAAAATTAGTTTTTAGATTTCGCGGTCGACCGTGGCAGTCGACCGGACTGCGGTCGACCCCGGCGGTCGACCAAACTTGAATTTTTCAGATTCTCAGAATTTGGCCATTGTGCATGTTTTCGACTCGATTCTTTCTCATGAATGAACTTGTTTATACTCAAAACACTTGTTAGTGTACTCATACACTATTTAATGATATTTTTCATAATAAATATCCACTTATTATAATTAATCACACATAATTCAATCTATCAATTGTTAACTCAAATTTTTCGGAGGTTTATAGAAAACTAGGCATATGCGCCCAACCTAGAAAATTGGTTCTTTCGCTTTTTTATTTTAGATTTGTTCGAGCTTTCTTCTGGGATTCCTTTGCTTTCTTCATGTGACTATAACACTAGTAAAGCAGTAATGCTTGTTCTTGCTATCTTGAGATAAAGTATTTGATTAAGTAAAGTATTTGATTTTGTTTAGTTTATCAAAAGTATGTTTATATTTATATTTAGATTCAAGTAAACATAGTTATTGCTATGTCATCGCATAGTGTGATATCATGTGTTTTGCCATGCTATGCCATGTTATGATATAAGTTAGAATCCACAGACATTATGCATGTTAGTCTACATTCACACCGTGGGCTTCTTTTTTTGCTCGATACTTTATCATGAGACTTGGCACTAAGGGTATGCATGATTAGACACCATGATATGGATTATACATAATGATGATAATTTCTTATGTCGGTGTTGGGTGTGTCCCTCGTGATACTAAATCAAGAACAAATTCTCTAAAATAAAGAAAGTTCTCGAATTGAGATACAGTAAGATCGTGAGTGGAGGCTTGTGATTCTGCACCACTAAATCTTGATCAAGTATAAAAGATGGTAACCAACAAAGAGATAAAGTATTTGCATGTATCAAGTCGTGATTAACTTGTGTTTAGTATTAGACAAGCATGTTTTGCTACTTTGAAAATCCAGTCAGATGGGGCACCCCATAATAGATGTCTTCTATGGATTGAGTTATTTGGGCCTAGTGTATAATATATCATGTATAATGAAGAAATGAAAAAGTTCACGTGGGTTAATTAACGAGAGGGAATCAAACATCTCTTAGGTAATGTATAGCTCGGGGTTGTGTTTGAGCGATAGTCTGAGACGAGTTCTGTACACATAAAATGAAGACATGTAAGAATCAAGTAATGTTTCAGTGGGTATTCCAAACACACATTATTCAAAGAGAGCTTCCCAAACAAGAGTAAGTAAAAATCCAAGTTGTAATTAGATTAACACACACTACCTTGTGCGTCACATATGAGGATCTAGGCGCATGCTCGCTTCTTATGTTTTATGATTCTTATCTGTATATATGTTTACCTGCTAGTTCTGTTTTTATTCTAGATTTATGATGCATATTTTCTAATTAGATTAACACACACTGCCTTGTGCGTCACATATGAGGATCTAGGCGCATACTCGCTTCTTATGTTTTATGATTCGTATCTGTATATATGTTTACCTGCTAGTTCTATTTTTATTCTAGATTTATGATGCATATTTTCTAATCATGAAATCAAATAAGATGATATAGTTATATAGCCACATAAGCATGATACACATCACAAGTGCACTAATTACATCAGTCATTTTACCACTTGCTAGACGACTTTTTTGACCATCCTTGTTTGCACACTAGAGGCAAACTCGAACACCTCCCTGTTACTTTTAGGCACACCAGACTATAGCCACACACAGTAGAGATGTCTTACCTATCAGCCTATATGTCTGCTTATCTACCAGCTCCTGCTTAGCTTGTCTATCATTCCACTTATCAATTATCAGTACTTGTTCATCTATTCAGACTATGTTATTGTCCTCCCAGTTATGGACTGACCTTTATATATCTTTGCTTATTTTCAGTTGATTAGCTAAACATGTATGGCCGAGCGACCTTATTATTATTATTATTATGTTTATGTATTTGTGGATGACATTAATATTAGAGTTGTGATATATTTGTGTGTTATGCTGCTATTTGTGAGACTTGTTGACTATTTCAGTTTTGTATATTATCGCTTCCGCTGAGCATTTGTTGTTGTATATTTGCCTTTGCTGTATACTAGCTTCCGCTATATTTGTGATCATGTATTATTCTGATGATGTTGTTTTGATGTGGTTATTGTGATATGTGTATTTATCTTTTGTACAAGCTTAAGTATATGCTTTTAATGGGACTTTGGCCCAATTATAGATGCTGCCTAGTCTAGACACGTGCTCGTCATGTGATATTGGGATACAGAGCGTGACAGAGTAATTTTAATGGCCTGTTTGGATGGAGGGTAGAGAAGGGAAGGGAAAGGGAAATTTTAGTTTACATTTGTTTGGGAGTTCCATTGAGAAGGGTAGAGGATGAGAATGAGGGGAGAAAATTGAATTAAAATCTTACCCTCCAAATTGTGGGCATTAGTTATCTCCCAAACACACCATAAAGTAAAAATGTCAAAAAGGATGTAAACTTTAGGGTATTAAAATGTCAAAAAATTTTAAGTATATAAGTTATAAGAGTGTAAACATTAGAGCGCCAAAGTGCAAATAACCATTTTTTTTGAATAATACGGGGTTTATTAGGGAGAAGTTAAATATCTTGGTCATTAAGGGATCAAATTGCAAGGCCTCTCAGCATTTGAGGGAGTGTTGAGTAATTATTGAGATGTGAGGGACTATAATTTTAGCGTGTCCCATAAAACTTCCCTAAACAAAAGAGCGGTAGTTCTGTTCTCCCTCACATCGACCAGATCCAAAGAAACACCAACACCACCCTCCAAAATCCGAACTTTCACTGGCAACAGAGAAGCGGTGACCGCACTCCACATGCATTAATAAACCCCCTTCTTCCCCAAGCAAAGCGGCCCCCTTCTGATCACCGCCTCGGTAACTCTCACCGCCTCCCAGATCCCATCAAAATCTCACCCCCGAAAATGAAATCCAAACCCATTAGCCACTAATTACCAATGGAGACCGACCCCCTGCGCTCGCTCTCGTTGAGAGCCGCTCGCAGAACCATCCAGGCCCAATCTCAGAGCAAAGGTGAGGATGATTCTTGAGCCTTTGTTTTTCTTTTTTCTGTTTCCTTTTTAAGATTAGAGTTGTTTGTTGATTTGGGGATTTGGGTTTGGTTCTGATTCGGAAGAGGATGGGTTTAATGGCTCCTCTGAGATTGATATGCGGCAGGGGTTTTATAAGGTTGCTCCTGGTTTCAGCTATTGTCTGGATGCTGCTGATTCTTGCTGCATTAGCTTTCCACTTGTGGTCTTGTCATTCTTCTATTGGATTTTTAAGTGGTAAAGTTAGAGAGAAATTTCTCGTATTTGGAAATTATTTTTTCTTTAAATGAATTATAATGTCGGAATGTACTTGCTATTGATGTTCACATACTTTATATTCTTGAGTTACGATTTATATATAACAGAGACCCACTTTTTCTTTTAAGATGACACTGACTTTGTTTTGTCCTAACTGTATGAGATATCTCATCTTTTTGCAGCTGAAACTTTATTTGGTGTTCCTCACAGCTAAATACTGTGATTGTGGTAGATATCATTCTATCATACAATAAATTAAAACCTCATTAACTTTGGAGTTTGCTGTGAGAATCACTTGGACATTGTTGATTGAATAAATGTGGTTTCAACGTAGAAAATTATGTCTTTATATAGGCAACATAATTTAAGAAATTTACAGAAAGACTTAATGAGTCAAATGAATGTTGATGAAAAACTACAGAAACTGCAATGATTGACTCCTAAACATTTTCTACTCCATAGATTCTTAAATGGTTGAATTTGGGTTGAAACTTGTGTCCCATGTATTTTAGTTTGTTGGACCATTGTCGAGCATATGCAATGAGATTTTCAACTACAGGTCATATTAGTATTCAGAGTTATGATTCTTTGAAGTTAACAGTCAACTAAATACCTTTTTCTTTGATTTCTTTGCCTATTCTTACTCCATTTTTCAACTTGGAAACTTCAGCAAACATGCCCACATCACTTTTGGTATTTATGTTTCTGGCTTGACGTAAATACTAAAAAAAAGTAAATAAGGTATGGAAGTTCACATGCACTCCTTATAGTATGCAATAACATTAGTGAGACCCATTGACCTCCAAATTGATGGTGTCATGAAACTTGAATTTTTTCTTTTTCCCCCATATTTTCCTCCAAGAAGTAAAACACCATTATGTTAGTTCATTCCATTCCCTATCCTCCCTGAAAACTTTTGGTGCATATATTTAGAATAACTACAATATTTATATCCTTTTTACCTCTGTCTGACACAAGATGTACTTGTCATAATCTAAAATCATAAATTTTATTTAGATAATAAATTTTTTTGTTACATTTATGATTGAGGTGATTAGTTTGTTTTTGTTGGACCTTGACCTGTTTCTATTCTTGATTATTTTCAGCTCTTTGTAAAAAAGACAGCAAGGTGCTTGTCATGTTAGATACAATGGGGCTAACACCAAAAACACAACACCGTAAGCTTCTAAATCACCAGTCTCTTGTCCATTAAACTTATCTACTAAAGCTGATCTGAGCTTTTCATTGTTGCAGGTTGCCCAATTCCTCTTGCAGATGACCCAGATTCTGTAGTCATTCCGGCGAGGACTCCTGATAGTCTTCCAAAGAGTGTGTCATATATATCAGTTGATGAAAAAGCAACTGCACAGTCTCCCCCTCTATTTGGAGGGCATCAAAGGTGGTCACAGAGGGAGGAGAGCTTTAAGCTGAATAAAAGTATGAAGGTAAATGATTCATGTTTAGATGATTGTTATCTTGGCCTTACAATGACAGTCGTGTTAGAATAAATATGGAGACTAGGGAATGGAAAGAAGTGTTACCTTAACATACACACTATATCATTGCATTCTTTATATTTTCTTCTCCTATGCTTAAATGAACATAAAAATTTCAGCCTTGTAGTTGCCAGTAGTCCAACTGCAGTTTTCTAAACTAAATGCGCCTACCTTCAGTTATAAATAAGTCAAAATCAATGTCATAAGAAGCTTAATAACAAGAATAATTCCCTTCATTGGTGCTTGAGGTTGATCCTAATTTTTCTGTGGCTTCAAAGGATTATCCATTTATTGGGTTGAAGTGTTCCTTTATGGTGTTTCTTTAATTCTTATGTCTCCCCTTTACTACTTTGTTTGTGTACCCACCATTTCTAGATTGGCAGTGGGACTCCTCAAAGGACCTGTCAGATGAAGTAATATGTTCTGACCTTCCATCTTGTATCTAATTTAGTGGTGCAACTAGTTTGACAAGTAAAGAGATGACGACAGAGTTGGCAGCAAGAACTTTGAAATTGGAAACAGTGAGTTAGGAAAAGATCAGGAAAATCAAAGTGGTCTGGATATAAGCATAGAAATGGAGAGTGGCACTGTCAAAGAGCAATGGAAATGAGAAACAGTTCTAGAGGAAGTGAGAAAGCAGATAAAAGAGTTGATATGGAGGAGTTTAAGAAACAATACCATGGAAAGAGGCAGAAGAGGAGAAAATAGAGAGAGATAAAGCACACAAATTCACTGATTCATTGCTTTTCATTGATCTTCATATACAGTTATGCTACAAGAATGCTAAACTGTAGGACATCTATTTGAATCCTTGAGTTAAATTTCTCTATCACTAATTCCAAGACTTCCCTTTGTTTAATGCTTATTTCAACTCCTGTCTTGACTCTTGGATACGTTTCCTCACAGTACCATATAAATTTCAGTCATTCATTTATTTCCTCTGTTCACTTTATTTAACAACTCTCTTTGTTCTTCTTTTATTTTATCTTTGATGATTTGCTTCTTTGGGGACAATGCTCTAGAATCCCATTACATTCCCTAAATTTTTATTATCTCAAACAAGTGCAACTCCTAGAACATTTTAGAGTCACTGTGTGATCGAGTAAGTTATTTTCAGGTGTCTGGTGAATAATTTTTATTTGAGGAGCATTATAGCAGATAAAAAACTGTATTATTCTAGTTTAGAAATATTTGGTTTTAAATTAAGATAGAGTTGAGTAATATTTTTAGATCTTTTGTTTGGATTAATTGCGAACAGAGACCCCCTGTAGTATTACCCAATTGCGAATAGACCCCTTATAGTTCTCCCCCAAAAAAAAATGAAAAAAATAAAATAAAAACAAAAATAAAAATAAAAACAAAAATAAACCCAAAAAAGTGATTTTTTGCTTTTAAAAATTGCTAAAAAGTTTTGAGAAGACAATTAGATCCCCTATAGTTTTATTGGTGAGGATATACCCCAATTGCTAATTTTCTTGAGCGTTCAAGGAGTCAAAAAAAGGTCAGTAAGGGGTTGTATTTGCACTTGGGCCAATACTAAGAGGTGTATGTTCACAACAGATACAACTACAAGGGGTCCATTCACAATTGGTGATTCTACAAGGGGTCTATTTGCAATTAAAACCTTTTTTGTTAACTGGGTTGCATAACTTATACATTAAGTTATGTGAGTGCTAAAATCCAAAAGTAGATGACTATTACTTTTTAAATTTTAGTTAGGGAGCGAAATCCAAGTTCAATTTTATATATTAGTAGATCTATAATTGATTAGCAATTTAGCATTATTGGGATAAATTTTGATATCCAAAGATTTGTTTTTAATTATGCATTGACCTATATAAAGGTTAATTTTAGTGAAAAAACGAGTGATTACTATATTTAGAGTTAATTATGCTGTAAGGTGGAGTTATTCTGGTTATTTCATCTTGCCAGTGCTAGTTCTTCCCTACTTATTTCTTGCATCTTCAGTGTTCAGTTTGGGACAGTGGTAACCACTTCCAAAATCCTGCTATTTTAGCCCTTAAGCGTCCAACTTTCCATTATTTTCTTCTTCTGCACATCAGAAGATTAATCTAGCTCCTTAAATCTTCTCTTATAATCTAGAAGCCATTGAGAGATGAATTCTGACATAGTTTTGCTGATATTAAAAAATAGCGTATAAGCTATGCTCTTGGCTCCTTCTCCATATGTATGTAGCCATAGTTCTTAATCTTAGAAATGACTAATTTCTATATAGCTTATACATAAGCTATTTTAACAAGAGAACGTACTCTCCTTGCAGGCCATTCTTATAGAAAATCAACCTAGCTTGGAAATATTGTTAGATGAATCATGTTCAGCCATGATGGAATTGTTTTTGCAGTGGATTATTGAGTATTAAACATACTCGTGATGTTTAAGCATGGACTTTACAGTGTTCGGTGTGATTATTATCTTGGTGTAACATATCAAATATTTCTGATGCTTGTCATGAACGTGTAGGATAGGATGTTGTTGATCTATTTCTTATAAGTATGCATGTAAATTTGATAAAACATACAACGAAGGAAATTTGGAAATTAAACAGAAAATTTCCACTAGCCTCTGAAAAGGATTCTCAACTTCTTGGTTTAGTAATGTTCATTGTGTGGGAGGATCTTCAGAAGTAAAGCAAATGGTCCAGAACTAGTTGTTATGCATAAAAAGAGTTCAAAATTGTGTAGTCATTTAAATTCACATTATCAAATAATTAGTGTTGATTATATCACTGTGGTATATTCCTTAAAGTTGTGTTTGACTGATATTCTATTTGTTGAACTAAGGCCGTCATACTGAGTACTCTTTTAACTTGTACGCTAAAACCCATACTTGTGGAAAGTGCAATAATATTTTAACATTCTCTATTTGTATTTATATATACCATGAATTACACATGTACTAATGGCCTATGCATGCCAGGCACACGCTTAAATCTTGTACGTTGTTGGTCTTGGTATATGAGCTTTAGAAGCAGACTCACAACACAGAAAATGTGTAATTGCACTTAAATACCCTATAGTATCCCCTACTTTGCATTTATACACTCTCACTTGTTTTTGGCAGCACTTATATACCCTAAGTTTTAAAATTTTGCACTTCCATACCCTCACTTTTTTTGGCGGCACTTAAATACCCTAATGTTTTTAAAACATTCACTTATATACCCTAAAGGTTTTAAAACTTGCACTTAAATACCCTAAGTTATGCAAACTTGAGGGTTTTTAAGTACAGGTTTTAAAAAATTTAGGCTATTTAAGTGCCAGTTTTGAAAACTTTAGGGTATATAAGTGCTACAAAAACAAGTGAGGGTATATAAGTGAAGGTTTTAAAAACTTTATGCTATATATGTGCTACTAAAAGCAGGTGGGGGTGCAAAGTAGAGGAAATTATAGGGTACTTTAGTGCAATTAAGCCCACAGAAAAACATGAACCCACCCTGTTGCAAGCTTTTCCAGTATAAATTATATTCAATGATTCTGCTTTTTTTTACTTATTATTATATTAATTTCTTTCTAGGTTCATTGTGGATTTATGAAAAATGGAGGTGGTAACATGGATGCTGTAGATGTCAAGTATGTAAAAAAATGTAGATTTGTGGTTGCCTCAGGCATCTTTGATGGTTATGACACTCCCCATCAACCATCTAATGTTAGTGCTCGTTCTCAGAAGCTTTTCTGCTTTTTGATGGTGGTTGATGATAAATCTCTTAGTTTCATAAAGAAAAATGTTACAATTAGGGAGGATTCGGATGGAGGAAAATGGCTTGGTATTTGGCGTCTTGTGACCCTACATAATCCACCATATGATGAGCCTAGAAGGAATGGGAAAGTTCCTAAGATCATACCTCATAGGCTCTTTCCACAAGCTCGATACAGCATTTGGCTTGATGGTAAAATGGAACTTATTGTTGATCCATTACTTATTCTTGAAAGGTGAGTAATACACAGGCTTTAGCTGACCTACTATCAAACTGAAGTTATTAAAAGTGGTTACAATCTATCAGTTTGCTTGTATTTTCAGATATCTTTGGCGGGGTAAGTACACATTTGCAATTGCACGTCATAAACATCACAGGAGTATATATGAGGAGGGTGATGCAATCAAGAGAAGAAAGCGTTATGCTCGGCCTCTAGTGGATTTGCATATGAAAATATACCGTTATGAGGGAATGGAACCTTGGAGTCCAAGGAAAAGAACAGTTAGTGGTAAGTGAATTCCTAACAAATGAAATACATGAAGCAAGGCTTATATGTAGGTTGATTTTGAGCATCATAATTCACTATATATCGACTTCCCAGTTTGTATATTAGTTAAAAGTTAAAACGGGAAACTCATCTCCACTTGGTTTGGTCATCGTTATGTATATGAACATGTCTGTGTATGCATTTTAGGTTAAGACTACACAACTATGTAGCTTATAGACAGTGAAGACTATTAGATTAACTAGAAACAGAAATAACTTGACAGCAGGAAAAAAAGTTAAAAAAATTGGATTTTCCATGTTATGAGTTTAATTGCTCAACTACCAACGCCTGCAGAAGGTTTGAACTTTGAAAACAATACTATTATGGAAAGGGAGGCAATAGTAATCATTTGTCAGATTTATGTAGTGATCTTCTCACATACAAATCTAAAGGCTTTGTAATGTGCTAATCATTCTTTCTTTTCATTTAGTCTGTAGAATAGTGATAAGTACAAATTTTTTCTAGTGCATCTCAAGAACAGTGGGAGTGTACTAGGGATATTTCTTTTGTTTTGACCAAATGGGAGATGTTGGTCTGGCCTCAACAAACAAATCCAAAACCCGTACAAAATCAGAATAGTTGAGATCATGGTACCTATCTTGATTGAGTTACTGGGAGAAGTTCAACTACAGATCTCCAAGATTTAGGTGGATCTCTAGGGTGGATTTTAGGGTGGACAATTGCAGGGAAAACCTACAAATCTATGGGTGAAACTGTCAAATGAGTCACTGCAATTCACGAACCTGAAAGTTATTGATCCATTCCCTTCTCCCTCTACAATCGTTCACTGGTATCAGAGCTGGAAAAAGTAATATAGATGTGAGCAGTGTTTTAGAAACCTCAACTAATATACATGTGAGCAATGTTTTAGAAAGCTAGGTGTTTCTAGGGGCGGGACATAGTACTTGGCGCCTAGGCTGGCGCCTAAGTGGCATGTAGGCCTTTTTGGGCTCTGAGAGGATTTTCAATGATTCGAAATCCTATCAACATCATTTTATCTGATATGAACTTGAATCAAGTTCTAATATGACCCATTTTAACCTGTCCCATTTTCTTCCCTTGTTGTATGCTTAAGCTGGCAATAAACTCCTTTTTGATGTGGTGAGTCCACGTAGTGGCTCGTATTCAGCTAGGCATTCTCAACAGTTGAGGGGGCGGCATAAGTCTGCTTAGGTCTAGGTGGGTACCTAGGGGGTGCCAAGACCGCTTTTTAAATTAATGGATGTATGGTAAAATCATTGTATCTGAAAAATTAAATGACCAAAAACCACACAAGCATGCCACTATAGTCATAGAGTGGAAGCTTCTTTTTATTTAAAAAAACCAAGGTGTGAACCAATCATAAGCAAACAGATGAGCCCAAAGATCAAGTTTGATTTCTTTACTTATGACCTTGGCAATGTTTTAGAAAGCTCTAGGTGCCGGACTCCCCTATAGCGCCTTGGCGGGGCCTAGGCTTCGGTGGAGGAGGCTAGGGAGATTGGAGGACGTGTGGAGATGACAGTGAAGGAAATCAGTGTTTGACCTAACCTTTGCAGTCCACTAATGTTGCATGGGTGCAAGTAGTGGTATTGCTCTATATACATATACATGTGTGTGTGTATGTGTGTATATATATATATATATTGTGTGTGTGTATATATATATATTTATATATATATATATATGAGAAAAATGAGTATACTTGGTACCAAGGATCCTTGGTAGTGATGTGGACACATCTTGTCGCATACATCACACCTTGAAGATGAGCCTCACCAACTTCAAGGTGTGATGTATGGACAAGATGTGTCCACATCACTACCAAGGATCCTTGCCCAAGTATACCCATATTCCTCTATATATATATATATATATATAAATATATATATATATATATATATATATATATATATATATATATATTATATATATATATATAATATATTATATATATATATATATATATATATATATATATAATATTATATATATATATAATATATATATATATATATATATATATATATATATATATATTATATATATATATATATATAAATATATATATATATATATATATATATATATATATATATATATATAATAATATATATATATATATATATATATATATATATATATAGTATATATATATATATATATGTGTGTGTGTGTGTGTGTGTGTGTGTGTGTGTGTGTGTGTGTGTGCTGTGGTGTGGTGTGTATGTGCTGCGCGGCGCGGGCGCGCGTTAGTTATGTCAGTGGAAGATTATTTTTGTTACCTATTCTGTAACAATAAAGTGAGGATACTTATTGTCACTTAGAAAGCATCATGACAATTAATACTCTTGAAAATCTCATGAGAAAATAGTCCAATTCTCATGAGATATTTTAGCTAAATAATTAATGACATTGAAAACTTTTCTATCCTATCAAACTTTCTTATCCTTTTCTGTTTTTTCTGCAGCACATCTCCTTTCCTCCTTCCATTCTTAATATGAAAATTGCTGATATTAAGATATATCTTTTTAGTTACTAAATGCAGCTAATAGTTTCTGATTGGAGTTGCTTTTTTTTTTGGGTACTCATGGTGTGGCACTTTTAAGCTTGCTTTGAGCATCTGAGATCATTTCAAAGTGATGAAGGGTCAGTGAGATTACTAATTTAACTGTCAACTATAGATTCATACGATAATTCTAGGAGAAATTACTAATAAAAACTGAGTCTTTAAGACTTGTAGATCAAAATTATTCGCTCCATGGTGGAGCAAATCATAAAAAATCTTATTTTTAAGATTAATGTATGTCTCCAGTAGACTAACATGATGAGATCTTAAGCAAAGAGTTGTTGACAAATCTTGTAGGAATAATATTAGGTAAGACTTGGAGGTTGTAATGAAATTGAAGAGAGTAAATTTTCATGTGGGAATTTTATGGTTTGGACTTTCTTATTAACAATGGAATCAGATAGGAAAAATCTCATGTATATTCTCTATGTATATTTTTTTTCACTGTACATGGGATTATATGGAGTACAAGATGCTGCAAGAGGTTAAAGTTGTTTCTAACGAATAGAAACGATAACAATTAGGAGATCATATCAAAACAAATAGATAGAAACAAACAAACGTCTTATCTATAAATCATAACAAAAGATAAGCTTCTGGTATGGCCTCAACATTTCCCATCCCTTTATTTTTCGTTTCTGTTATTTTAAACATGTTTTATTCTTTAAAATTTAAGAATAATGAATGTGAAATGAAATCAAATATTGCGAACATACTTTATATAGATCTAATTAGAGTTTTGGGAAATTTCTCTCTCTAAAATAATTTATGGTTAAAAACTTGTACATTTTGAATTAGAGCAGAAGTTCATAAAAGTTTTTTATTTGCAATAAACGAATGAGGAAGAGGATTAGACTTAAATGTCATTAATTATTTAGCTAAAATATCTCATGACAATTGGCCTATTTTCTCATGAGATTTTCAAGAGTATTAATTGTCATGGTGCTTTCTAAATGACAATAATTATCCTCACTTTATTGTTAAAGGAGGGGCAACCAAGGTAATTTTCCACTCTACTTAGGGAACGAAAAAGCCATCCCCATATATATACCTATATATATATATATATTTATAGTTATATATATAGGTATATATACGTATACATATACGATGTGTGTGCGTTTATAGAGGATATTGAGTATGAGCTGGCTGCTTATTTTGCAAAATGAGCTGCCAGCTCACTGCTATGTGAGTCCCACCCCAATGTGACTAGTAAGGGGTTCACATGGCATTGAGCTGACAGCACATTTGACAAAATGAACTGTCAACTCATATGCATTTTTTCCATATATATATATTGGAAATATGATTCTAAGGAATCACCTTAGATTGAATCTAAGAATATATCTCTCAAATGCATGTATTTGGGTATTCCAATAGATGATTCGCTCTATTCATCATGATTTAAATATCTCAAAACATCTATAAAACAAAAACTCATGATGTTTCAATACTTTTAGCATATATTTTTCCATTGTCTCTTTAGTTATATTATCGTAAAACCGTTAATTTTATAATCAGTTGATGTATGAGCAACTACAACTCAATATGCTTAATTTTTTGTTTATGCACAATCTAAAACATATAGATCGCTATAAACTGAGTGCATCATGTAAATTGATTGCATATAACATGCACACACGTGCACACACATATGTATATTAAATTTAATAATTTGAATAAGATCAATATCATTTTTTTCCCTCTACATTAAATCAATATATAAGAAATATATGTGAACTTTAGAATATACGTCCAAGACATGTATGATGGGTGTTTTAAATCAAATCATGTGTATATAATTGAGGATACGCTTGAATAAACGAATGCATATATTCAAACAAGAAGTGTCCAAGAAGTTTCAGTACGGATACATCTTTTGATTAAAGTACCTAGGTAATATAGCAGTCCACATAACGGCTAATGCTCCTCTAGGTGCTCCCAAAACCTAGGCGGATGGTCTAAGTACTGGATGCCTAGATTGGTTTTTAGTACTATGGTTGTCAGCTAAAAAATCGATCAGTAGGAACACTTACCAATATCATGATTGCAAAATTCAAACAACTTGTATGATTGGAGGGACCTAATAGCAATTTCAATGATTTGATGGACTAATATCAACTATGAAAGATTTTGAGGGACCTGTATCAAAAAAGAACCCTTTTGTGAATCATGATCCAAAGTGATCATGTACTTAATATGGTAGTCAAGCAAGCACATAGAGGAAATTGTGCATGTATTTGTATGATTGGTCAGATTCTATTAGTTCATAAGTTTGATATCATTAAACGTTAGCTGATAAAAACGTCATTTGACATGGTTTTACTAAACAGAAGAAGCCTCTTTGTTTCCTCAAATTTAGCTGATTTTTTTAAACCATGTTCATGCAGATGTCCCGGAGGGAGCAGTCATAGTACGGGAGCACACAGCACTCACCAACTTATTTAGCTGCCTCTGGTTCAATGAGGTCAACCTCTTCACACCAAGGGATCAAATAAGCTTCGGCTATGTAGTATACAGATTAGGCGAAGCCTTCAACTTCTTCATGTTCCCTAACTGTGAATACAATTCTTTGTTCATATTGCACAAGCACAACAGGGAGCACTCCTCTAAAGTTGAGTGGGTTAAATCTTTGGATGAATTTAAGGGGAATGAGACTACGTTGAAAGAGAGCAGAGGTGGGTTAGGGCTGTGGACACCTTATCCTGGTGATCTCAAGTCTGTCAAACTCCCGCCAGTAACAAGAACATCACCAGCAGGGTAGAAATTGCTAGCAAATATTATTTTGTTACAAATTTTTTGGCCTTTATAGTTATCAATCCATTTAAATGGGTGCTTATAGTTGTATGTTTTAGATTCTTTCTTCTCATTTGTTATAGCTGATCTAGAACAGAAAATCTTTTGTTGTGCTTGAATGAGTTTTCTCATTTTTATACAGAGGTGGCTCATTTTAAGCAGCTGTGCTCATTTACAGGAGAAATACTGGATTATGCTTAAAACCTTCTGTTATCAGCCTATGTGTATTTTTTTTTGGTAAGAGCCGGTATCTGGTTCTTGATATAAAAAGAGACCCGACTGTGTTGCAAACTGCAGAATTAACCTTTGTTGCTTCATGATATATTTTGTGTATATTCATTGAGTATCGAGAGTAAATAAATTTGTAGTTAATGTTGTTAAATTAAATATACCTCTAATGAGACATGAGAAGGAATCACGACATAAATAGCAATGATGGTAAAGAATTTTCATGCTTAGTAGCATTCTGAGGGTTTGGTTTTATTCGATGGGGAAAATGCATTCAATATGGAACGAGAAATAGAAATTCAATGCTGAGAGAAAATGCTGTAGATGTATAAACAATTTATGCTACACAAATTATTCCCATTAAACCGACAGATCATGCAACTAGGAGTAGCCGAGTAGGGAAGCTGAAGTATCAATTTCCAGGTGATTCTCAGTTCTTTCTCAGTGCTTCATTAATTATTTTGCGGTAATTATCCACACTTTTCTTTTGTGTACGAGGGTGTTTGGTGTGTGCGTTGATTTTATTTTTCTATTTTATTTTATGGTTTTTCTTCCCTAGAAACCAGCTTATATTTAGGTTTATTTTACACAAACCACCTTATATTTTCAATTTATACCTAACCAACCTACAAAGTTTTCATTTCAATCAACCACCTGACTCTACTTTATTGCCGAAAATTCTCTGAAATTCTAATAATGTCCTCACATATTCTCAAGTGTAATGCACGTGATCCCCTCTTAACAAGACCCCTAACCACATCAATATCTAAACGGTGAGGGCATTATTGTGAATTTAGAGAAAATTAAGGTGGGCAGTGAGATTAGGTTGTTGATTGGACAAAACTAACTTTGCGGGTGGCTTAGATATAAATTGGACATATAATCTAGTTTGCGTAAGTAAAATGTCCCTAAATATAAGGTGGTTTCCACAGGGCAAAACCTAAAATAAAATAAAATGAAATAAAATAAATAAAAATCAACACACACCAAACACCTTCAAACACAAACAAAAAAGTTTAGATAATTACCACAAAAGAATTAATGAAGCTTGTTGCCAAAGATCAGGGATACAGATATGAGTACGAATATGCCTCTTTAAGGAAAATTCATATCCATTTTTGCTAAAATTAAATATAGATATGGATATACATATGGATATATAAGTGAAAATATATGCGGATACAAAATGGATATAGGAAAACTAGATAATATTATTGAAAATAATATAGTTTATATGAAAAGGCTATGACTAGATCTCTTGATCATCAAAATCAACCTTAAATCCATTAATCTAAGGATTAAAACTGATACGATTGTATGACTAATATATATTTAGATATTTTGGATACAGA